TTATTTATATTTAACACAACTCATTATTGATTTTTATAATAAGCATTTTCCATAATTAATTATCATTCAAATAAAATAAATAATTAATTATCATGCAAATCAAAATATTAATTAATTAACATAATTGTTTTCTATAAAAAATAACCAATGCATATTAGACAATTAATGTGCACATCCAATACTGGAACTGACTACGTTTCGATCGAGAACTTCTCACACGTCATCTCACACGTCACATCTCTTGGCCTATCATTTCCATGTGCCACCCTTCGAGCCAAATATTCTCGCGTGACATGCCACAGCCTAGCCAACTTAGACCAACCGCTAGAAGCCCATGGAACTAGCGCGAGTCCAACCAAAAAATATTGTATTCTATTGATATTTGCACAAGCATGCAATTCACGTAAAAAAAAAATCGCTCAACAATTCATGCACGTCTCATTCTTCATGCGCAAAATCCAACCAAGAAAAAATGAACCGTTGTTCGAAAAATTATCGCCAGCGCTAAAAATATTCGATTGTCATCACCAGCAAGGTGCGACCAGTTAGCGCCTTCAACATCTACTCTAGTCCGACCAGTAGTCCATGCAAAACAACCGAGATATCTCGCACGTTCAGCCTGTCGTCCTGCCATGTTTGTTACGAACCGCCCGTCAGCAGCATCATTGCGACGTCCAAGCATCAACAACCTTCGTCCAGCAGTCAGTAATAATCGACACCAGCACCGACGACCTCATATCTTTAAGCTTCGTTGACCCGTTAGTATGGTCATCCATCGACCATCGATTTCGAGCCGAAACTCGAGAAATTAGACCATCATCAGCCGCGCGAGACTTCGTACAATTTCCATACTTCCTGGTGCACGACCAAGAACACATAACCTTCAGCCATCAACGTCCGACGCCGTATCAATATTGCCCCGACTTTCCTATGCACGACCAAAACCACCAGCCTTCTGTTCAATAATGTCTGCCCGCTGACCTCTGTCAGCCCCAGTCCTAACCCAGCCCCCGTACAAGCCATGGCGCAACCTAGCTGGCAGCGGACTACGGGTAGCCGATGATGTATATATATATACATATATTGAGTTTGAAGGAAGAAAATGATAAAGGGAATAACGTGGAATAATGTTCAATTATCCCCAAAAGAGGATTAAGAGTTTGTTAGCAGTATAATTATATGTAAGTTAAGAGCATCTCCAATGATTAATGTTGTTGTAGAATAAATTTTGACAAATGTCAATAATTACATGGATTGTGAACCATGTAAGAAAACTACTATGTTTATAACAATGAAATTAAAAAATTATCTCCAATGCTCATTATAGTCTAACTACAATACTATCTACTTACCAAATAATAAAATTTTCTACTATATAGTACGAATTAATTAAATAAATAAAAAAATTAGAATTGGAAAGAATAATTCTCTCTCTTCTCTTTATTGGTTAGTTAGAGTGTGGAGGAGAATGTTGATGAATCACATTCTTCTTTACATTGTAAACATTAATTATATCCACATCATCATAATATTTGTGACTACATTGTGCATTGGAGAATGAAAAATTATGATATTGCTAAATATGTTGATGTTGAATGTAATTTACCATAACATTCTAGTATTGGAGATGGAATGTATCAAAAAAAAAAAAAAAAAAAAAATCCGCATGTGATTGCTTTCTTTAAATGTCTAATTTAACTTTTTTCAACATATTTAGTCCATTGTTAAATTATATGTAGATTATAAAAATAAATAAGAATAAGAAATTGTCTGAAACATTAATTATAGATCAATTTATGGAATTGGGATAACGTGATAGTTTTTGCAGTTTTTGTTTTTTGTGGCCAGAATGATAGAGATGCTATTAATAAAGAAAGGTTCAGAATACAATACAACGATCCCTAAAACGACAAACTGAGAGATGCTACACAAAGCACCTAGAACCTCAACAATCAAAAAACAAACTAAAAAAACACAATAGAAATGTTTCTCTCCACTGCCATAAGGCCTAGCTAGAAACAAGTCCACCAGGAAAAAGGAAACTAGAAGAAACTAAAAAAGAAACAAAAAACAAAGCAGCCAAGCCAGCTAAGATGATCCCACAGCCAAGGAAGCTTCCAACCAGTCCTTCTGAGCATCTGAGATGACAATGTGCTCAGGAATTAGAGTTCTTTCAAAGACCCAAAGGTTTCGAGACTTCCACAACCACCATAACAGATAGGTGGATAATTGGATCCTGTCTTGAATTACATCACTCTGTTTGATTGAACTGATCTGCTGCCACCATGCTTTGAAAGAGTAAGAGCAATGCTGTAAGCCATCCCAATTGACAGGTGCTATTTTCCAGATCCTTCTACCTCTTGGGCAAGAGAAAAAAATATGTTCTACAGTCTCAGGTTGGTCACCACATATTGAACAAATAGCACATATATCCACCCCTCTCCTCCTTAAATTAGTAGCTGTTGGCAAGGTGTCAGAGATGCATTTCCAAAGGAAATGTGTAATTTTTTCTTGCATTTTCATTTTCCAACATCTCTGAAACATTTGGTGAGGAGGAAACAAGCTTGTGCTGGCTTCAGGAATGTCGATTAGAAGAACCTTCTGTGCTACCAAAAATTTGTAAGTACTTGAGACAGAGAAAACACCTTTGGAGTTATCTTGCTAAAGAATGGATTTTGTAGAGATTTAAATAACTTATCATTGTATATTCTTGTTATGTATAACTTTTATTATCTGTCTCCAGAACAAAAATTATGAAAATATTCAGACGCATATGTGATTTTGTAAGAAAATGTCTATTTTTTTTTAATTTAATGACTGAATTAAAAATAAATTATGAAAATATTCAGACGCATATGTGATTTTGTAAGAAAATATCTATTTTTCTTTTTTAATTTAAGGACAACATTAAAAGTAAATTTAAAGGATAAGAATTATATATGAAATATATATATATATATATATATATATGAATAAAAATCAATTATCTCGAACTCTCTCTATATATACCAATATATGTAAAATAAAATCAATTATCTCAAATATAACCAGTGAACGATCTTTTAGGTATTTGTAATGTTATGATTATTGTCTAATAACTAATAATATTTGAAAATATATAAAAATATGCTAACTATTTTTAATTTTCACAAATTTATTGGGTAATAAGTTCTTAAATTAGCTAGGATTAAATGTAGTTTTTATCTATACAAAATATTAATGGCCCTAAATCAAGATGATTTGTTTGCATTTATTGATACTTAATTGATGTATATTATAAATTAATAAAGGCAGGTAAACATGTACCCTTTACCCCAACAATACATTCATCAATCTATCCCAACAATACAGCGAAAATCTCACAACTCGAAACAACACAAGTTCCAAACAGCTCCAAAATAGTACATGAAAGAAATGCTACCACTGAACTAAAGGACATAGGATCCACTTCCTTCATTACTGACCATTCTTTGAAGCTCTTTTGTTTTTAAACACTTCCCAATCATCTTCTGCTGACTTTAGTATTGCAAGATTTGACATCCACACATTTTTAAATTTCCAGAGATTTTTGGATTTCCACAACCACCAAAGTATGTATGTTGTGAGCTCAATCCCGTCTTCATAAATGTCCCTCTTATCCACTGAGCAAACATTCCACCACTACTATTTAAAGATCTTGTTTGTGCAATAGCATTCCAACAAACATGAGCAAGCCTCCAAATTCTCTGCACTCTGGTACACAGGAAAAAGCAATAATCCACTGACTCCAACTCCTCACCACACCCTTGACATCTAGGATCCAACTTTGATCCCCTATTTTTCAAATTTAGACTCACAAGAAGGGAGTTAGTATAACCCTTCCATATAAAGTGTTTACGTTTTTTATTAATTTTTATGGCCCAACTCCTTCCCCTCACCCTTTTCTCTCATTTGGCTGTCTCACTCCCCTAAGCAATATTCAGCTCGCTGATTTTACTCACCACCAGATTTGAATAAGAGTTGGAAACCGAAAACTGATCTTTATTATCAAACATCCACCGCCACTTATCAAACAGTAGAAGGTCTAGAGTTTGAATCTGTAGTATAGCTTCCTTATCAGCCTGTGTAAAGCATTCCTCAATCATTTCTTTATTCCACGATCTTCCATCTTCTTGAATCAAGTCCTCCACCCAAGTCACCTGAGATAATAGAAAATAGTGAATTGCTATACCCCGCCCCCTATTACTACTTACCGCCCTAAAGACCCTTTTTGCCCTTTTCATTTCTAAAATTTTTTCTCTCTCTCTCTCTCTTCCATTTTTTTCCCTCTCGTCTTTGCCGCCTCGTATCACCTCCAAACATATCCAAAAAATGTCAAAATATCACAAGGTCGTGACAAGGGATTCATAATTCACCTGGTGTGTTTTTTATTTCTTTTTTTTCGCTTTTTGATAAATTTTTAAAAATTTCGACGGTCGACCGACCACCGATATAGGCCGCACTGGAATTGGTCGGTCGTTGATCGCGACCCGCACTGGTGCGAGCGACCATGAACCATACGACTACGCCATAAGCATGTTGGAATCTGTCAGGATCTCGTTATAACGGATC